GAAGAATGGAACCAGTTAAGTAAAGGCTTTTCTGAAGAAGAGGGTTTTGAGTCTGGATTTGAAGGAGTTTAGAGAAGGTGACTCTCTGATATCCTTGGGGAGAGAGTTCCAGAGCTTGGGGGCATAACAGGAGAAGGCCCTGTCGCCCATACAATGTAGACGGGCTGGGGGGACAGTGAGGAGACCAGAATTTGAAGAGCAGTGATGGAAGCAAGCCAGATTGTTCCCTTTGAAACTGCATCATATGTGTAGAACAGAACACATGTAACAGTAACCATGTTTGCAGCCATCAAAGTGTCTCATCTGGATCAGAAGGAACCTATAAGGCATCCGTTAGGGTTAGGGGATATGAATATACTAGCACTTACTCTAGCATATAATGTCTAGCCCCAGTTTAGAGGCATGGTAGATTATTAATGACAATAAAGGTAATAGGTAACAAGGAATAAATAATTTATGGGCAGTGCTTCATCCAATCACAAAGCTACAGGAAACTGAACTGTCCTTTTCTAATTCTGCCTTTTTTAAAAGACATTTAAACAAAAACATAATTAGCTGCAAAGCTGTTTCACCATTATTGAGGCCCATCAGAGTGATACAGCCTTTGACAAGAGACATACATATATATATTAGAAGGAAAATCCTTCCAGTCCAGGCGAGTTAAGAGCAGCAGCTGGAAATACATTTGGAAACTTGGAATAAATTGTTGCTACACCTGCAGTAACTAACACATAGCCTGCATGTATCATTAATAGGATACGCAGTTAGGCCTTCAAGTGCTCTGAAAAAGCTCTGTTATGTAGTAATACATGCTGCAGTGGTTTCTCATATTTTGGAGTGTTACAGAAAGCCACAAAAGAAAACCCCAAACGAGAAAGTAAACCTTGCTAAAGAAGATTATCATCAACTGCTTTTGAATGTTCTCGGGACACTGCAAGCATCTTGGGTCTATAAGCTGTTAATATATAAATGCAAATCAAGGGAAAATACCCCCCCCCACCCGCAGTTTTCAGCGGTTTTGGAGCGCTGGATTCTTCCTAGGATTTTTCCAGCACTTCAGTCTCGTGCTCTTCCTTCAGAGAGGTCTTCTGAGGGGAAACCTGCGCTCAGAGCCACAGAAGACACAGTCTTGGCTGGGTATGGCTTTTAACCACAATGACAGACTGCCGGGTGCCAGGGCAAGGTTAGAGTGTGATGAAGATGGCATAAAAGCAGCACAGCAGTCAAAGTACAATGGTATAATAACACAATAATGCCATCAAGCAACAGTGTCGTGGATTTACCGATGCATTAGTGGTGTAAGTGTGGTGCAGACTTCACCACCATCAGTGCACACAGTACAGTAGGTGGCTCATCACAGCATCTCAGCACCTCACTCACCTTCCAGCAGGTCTCTGGCCAGCCCTGGCTCGGCCCCGGTGGAGCGGACAAAGTCGGACAGGACTGCGTCCATATCCAAGGTCATGTGATCATGAATTCACACTGCGAGGGCCCCAGCTGAAGCAAGAAAAAATGGGGACCCAGCTCACCGGTGGGCCTGCGGGCAGGGCGGCTCCTCCTGTCGTGAAGCAGCAGTCACAACCACACCTGCACAGGACACAGAGAGGAGGCATCATGAGCACCACGAGTAAAACCTGCGACTGCTCCCGTCTGGAGACCACTCAAGACAGCGGGGATAAGGGGGCAGAATAATACTGCCTCTTCTTCATCACAGTAAACCCCAGACTTACAAAGAGTTTTGCACCCTTGACTACATAACTGATTCCTGTTTACAGTAAAGGACAGACACATAGCTTGCGGCTAAAGCCAGCGTCACACTACACGACTCGACGACTTCTCGTTGGAGAGCGTGTCAAATTTACTGACTGCTGCTGCTGAATCTCGCCGCCTTTTCTGTCCTAGAGGGAGTCAAATTATCCGACTAGGAATCGCAGGGGGCGACTAATTACACGATTCCCTCACGACCTTTCATCACGGTTTAACACGTCTCGTATGGCGCCGTGAAAGCACCGCCACATCGCCTTGCTTTGGCAGCCAAGGGGAGCGCCACACAAACGCAAACAAACAACCTGGAGAACAAGCACGTGAACATCTTGAAAAGTGTAACACGGGCATTGTTTTCCCACAAATAAACATCTTCAAAACTATCATTCTTCTTTATAAATATAGATAGATAGATAATACTTTATTGATCCCGTAGGGAAATTGATGTGTTACAGCAGTCCAGCCCGAGACAAGCAAAAACAGACATCAGAATAGTTATAAACCAAAAGACAACAAAATAAATAAAAAATAAATAAATACATAGGTGTGTGCAAAATGTGATGATCATAGTCACTGTAAAAACAATAAAATATGTGCAAAATGTGCATAGGTTTATACAGACTGATTGTCCAAAAAGTACAATGGAGCAAACATGCTGTCCATAGACGAGCAAATGAAGGGCTAACAGTCCTAGCCTAGGGCAGCGTTATACACCCTGACAGCAGCCGGGAGGAAAGACCTGCGGAAACGTTCCCTTGAACACCGTAGCTGGAGCAGTCTGTTGCTAAAAGTGCTATAAAATATAGAACACATTTACAAAAATAAAACAGTTAAAAATATAAAACACCTTTAAAACAAATACTGTAAACAAATTAGTTTTGCGCTATCACGTGTAAAAGTAATGGTGAGTAATTATCTCACAGGTACACATCTGGCTCACTGCCCACCCCTACGACTTGCGACTGGTAAATCAGACCAGTGTGATGGTGTCGTAGCGAGCCAGAGAGTCCTAGGGGCTGTTGGGGGTGTCACACTACACAACTGACGGTAACAGGCGCGCTACGACTCTATAAGTGGCTGTGATGAACCTAAAGTCCATGTGATTTTCTTACGATTATGTAAATGAAGGCTACGACTGAAAATCCGAGGAAAAGTCATGTGGCGTGACGACGGCACAGGGCATAAATATGCAAGCCGTTCTACACAAAAAATTTAAAAATGAATCTGTAAAAAACTTCCTAGCTATGCCACTGAAGCTTCTTCTGCGTGATCCAGCATGATGGGATTCCTGGATTATTATGCTTCAAGCAATCATGTGACAAAGGTAGATCAATAGTAATGATTTGTAGGCTTTCTTATGCCCCAGTTTATTTTCCCCAAACATGAGAACACACAGAAATGAAAATAACCACCTTTTGAATAGTTCAAACCGTTTTTATGCTCTCAAGACTTTTATACCATCATTAAATGCTTAAAGCCCAAAGCATGTAAGTACAGTGGCATCTATATTTTCCTATTTGTTTTGCAAATTGTATATTCTCTTCATTTTCTCCACTTATGTCCTAAATTGAGTCCGGGCATTTTAAGAGCTCTCCGATTTTATGGGTAGGGCTTACAAACTCAAAGCAGATGTCATTTCTGCAACACAAGCCTACTGTATAGCTCTATCTTTATTTCTGAGCCTTTGCAGGAACGATTGCTCATTCTTCTGCTGTGAGAGATCAAGAGATTGCATAACATGATCCACCCACTCTGCTGAAAGTCTAGTGTTGAACTATGAATTGATAATGTCTTTCTTAGGTTCTGGAGATTACAACGAGCAGGAACTGGGTTTAGAAAGAACTGGTAGACAGTGTGGGCTAGAGGTCAGAGCAGAGTGACTGGGAGACTATGTGCTGCTGATTAGAGCTGAGGGAGGGAGGCAGGCTTGGCTAAAGCTGCAAGCAGAGGCCTTTTGAGAGGGAGAGGGTGTTTGTGTATTGGTTTGCCTTGAGGAATTCGGAGAGGGGAAGACGCGTGGTTCACAAAAATGAACCGTGGAACGGGTCAAATACGAAAAAAAACTAGCAGAGGCAGTGACTGGAGCTGAAAATGCGGGGGGGGAAGGAAAAAACCCGTTCATTCAGAGCCAGAGCTGGGGAATGGCAGCTGAAGGAAGAGAGGGCAGCAAGTTTAGGGAGGCCGGCAGTGCGGGCTGGGAGCTGAGGGCGCTGCGGTGTGGCTGAAGCCTGAGGCTTTGAGGCCCCAGGAGGGAGAGAAACCGGCGAAAGCGAGGGGCCGGAGAAGCCGAGCTTGTCCAGCTGTGACTCCAGAGCAGCGCGTTTCAGAAGGAAGGGCTGGGGCGGGCCAGGGGGGCCCACGATCGGAACAAGGAGAGCCCGGATTTCAAGACTTAAGGGCAGTTTTGCCATATGCCCCAATCCGCTTGCTCAGCCAGAGTGTTGTCTGGTAGTCTGGCGGGTGTGGCGGAGGCATGACGACGTCTTCTGCAGGAGCCAGATTCCTCTCCATGCAAACACGCACGCCTGACACCCAGCCCCTGGCCACTCCTCCAGTTCTAGGAAACAGGCTTTACTTCTTCAGGAAAATTAAAAAAAAACAAAGGATTCACATACTGGCTGGTCATTTTCTTTTAAAACAGCATCTCGACAAAGTACGTGGCCAACTTATTGTCACTTAAAACAGCTGACGTCTGCATGCGCACTCTTAAAACCGTCCCTTTGGACAAAACGGCGAGTGCAGATTTAATGTAAATACGCAGACATAATGAGCCCCCAGCCACGGTAGTGTCACCCAAACCTCCTAAGCTGATTCAGAAAGGCAGAGAATGAATAAGGTTTTTTTTTTACCTCACCACTCATCATCACGAGTGCTTGAAAAAAGCAAAACAGCACGGACGAGCGACATTCCCTGCAACTTCTAAAAGGCCTAACGCAAAAGGCACAGAATGTTTTCTTCCCTCCAGGTTCTCAGTGAAATCGCTGATGCAGAAATGCACAACCTCATCACAGAGCAGCGATTATTTCTTTCTACTGCCGCCTACCTTTTATCAGCGAGAAAGCCCAGAGTGTGTTGAACTAGTGCAACCATTATTCCAGGAACTGCTTCTACTGTATTGTGCTTACAGAAGACAGAATGGGGCGGAGTGGTGGCTCTGTGGCTCAGGATCTGCGCCTGTGGCTGGAAGGTTGCCGGTTCAAATCCCACGGCCAGCAGAGGAATCCTACTCCGTTGGGCCCCTGAGCAAGGCCCTGAACCCCAACTGCTCCAGGGGCGCCGTACAATGGCTGACCCTGCACTCTGACCCCAAGCTTCTCTCCCTGTCAGTGTCTCATGGAGAAAAGCTGGGGTATACAAAAAGACGAATTCCTAATGCAAGAAATTGTATAGGGCTAATAAAGAAACATTATCATTACATTATTACTAAAAACAATTGGAAACTCACCCAAACCCAATATTCCACCAAGAGCAGAAAGCACCAGGGATACAGTATGTGTCTCTGCACAATGCAGAGATGATTCATGGCATAGGAAAGAGCAGGGGCCATCAGATCTGTCAAGACTTCACATTTGGGAACAAACAGACGTACGTCGGACAGTGTAGCGGAGCTAGTCTGGACACGCTGACGTCATCGCCCTCCCTGCGCGTAGGAGGGGTCTCAGCCGCCTGGGCTGGGGGGGTCTCCTTTAGCTTGCTCGGCTGGTTCCCTGTGGCGTTACGCCGGAGACCCGGGTTCGCGCCCCAGGTGCTGCGGGACGAACTGGCGGAGGGCACGAGCCCGTGCGGGACCACCACGGTCACAACAGCGCAAGTGAGGACCGGGTTTACGATTGCTGCCACAGAACAGGCATAATCCTTCTAAAAAACAGAACAATAACCAGTACCGCAGAAAGGTTACAAGTGAGGGGAGTCCATAGCTAACTGTACCCAGGATCTCACCCTCCTGTTTCTTAAACAGAAGCCAGGATAACAACCTCCACAACATGTTTTGTTCCACACAGCCAAAACCCATTATGTAAAGAAATACCTTCCATTCTCAGTTAGAAAGGCAATTCAACATTGTTTCTACCGGTGTTGTGAAAGAAAACCAATTTCTCTGTCAAAGAAATGAACTGGGGGGTCCTCTGTGTGAAAGGCGAGTAGGAGCACCACTACACTCACGAAAAGATTGTTCACTCGACTGTAGTGGATCTCTCTGGGGGAGACCCAAGCCACTCCAAAGCTGCCCCTGACAACCCAGTTTTGGAACATCTGCTAGAAAGTCGAGTTTTGTAGGCAGGTTGTTGTTAAACACAGGACATTGCTCACCTACATATAACATTTTAAACACTTCCACAAATCTGAAAAGGCTGCTGAACACAGTTTGCTAAGCATTCAAAATAAATCTAATATGCTTCCCTCAATATCATACAGGAGAAATGAAAGAATATTATTGCACAGTTTGATCCATTTTAGCTTTCCAAGCCACATGCTTTAGCACAAATGGTACTGAGCAGAAAGTCAACTATGCATGTACAGTACATATATATACTGCATTTCTCCTCCCAATCTGAAATACCAAATTGTAATGTCATTGTATAACAGCGGTGTTCATATACAGTATCTACACAACCTATAGATGTGCCATTTGTCATTTTGACACTCTGCTGGCTGCATAGTGTCTTAATAATAATAATCATTTCACTTATATGGTGCTTTTCTGGATACTCCCCTCAAAGCGCTTTACAGATAATGGGGATCCCCTCCACCACCACTTGTGTGCAGCCCCACCTGGATGATGCGCCAGTCCGCCCCCCACACACCAGCTCTCAGTGGGGAGGAGA